TCTTTTCCTCCCCTCCCCTCTCTCCCCTCTCTTCTCCTTTCTTTTCCTTTCCTTTGTTAGGAAGCCTTATTTAATAAAAGTTTTTATACACTCTTGCCTAATTCTAAATGTTCTCTGAAACAAGTAAGTTAAAATGGAATTTTAAGGTTTACAAGAGACAGAATAAGAAATAGCAAAAGCTTTATTCTTTTAAAAATGTAAGATCCTGGTATGATTCTTCACAGGTGGAAAGCAGATACATTTAGAAAATCAGTTATCTCAGATACTTAATATGGTTTTATTTAATTAGTTTTGCCACCTGGTAGAATTAATATTGTTACAAATGGCCTTGGCTTTTTATTATCATCCCATCTGTTACTATGTTTAAAGAGTTAACATAAAGACCTTTTTTCAGTATCCATTTTTTCACAAACATATATTTCACTTTTAGACTATATTGTTATGAAAAAAAGGAAATTCTTTTATTTTTGAAAAAAAGTCTAGTATTGATCCCCCAGTATGGGGGCTAAGACGAATTCTTCCTTACTAAATTATCAGATAAAAGTAAACTTTACAATAGTTATTTTTGTGTTTCAAGAGATGTGATTTTTATCAAAATACCTGTTTCTTAACGGATCTGTAAATAACACATGATAAGTTGTTCTTTCTGTTTTCATTCTCTTTTTTTCTTCTGGCCTGTTGCAAGGAAGAGGTGGCAGCCAGAGGTTGCAATGAGAAGCCACAGAAGCCCCCTGCCTAAGTATCTCCAGCCAGTTTTATCTTTTACTTCGAATAGATGAATGGTGGTGCTTTCATTTAAGCATATTAGGTGAAGTTAAGTGAACAAACTTTGTTGTGCAGACCTCATCCTTTGTTTTGCAAAGCTAAAGTAAGTCTGGGCTCACTATTTTATGAATTATAAAGCAAGCCAGAAAATACATTTATAGCAAGAGATGTTTTAATCTCAATACTAGAGAAATGAATTAAAATAGTAGCACTAAACTACTTTTAAAACTTTCAAATCTTTTGGTTAATCCATTAATACTTATAAGTTAGGTAAAAAGTTTTGGGAGGATGATTTGCCACTCTTTTAATCCTCCTTAAGACACAACTCATTAAATATTACATAGATTGTAGTCTAAGAAGGTGATTTCTACTATTGATTTTACTAAATAAAGTTATATTAATACCAGAATAGTAGAATCATGGATAGTTATTAAAGTTAGAATTTTAAGTTCTTGGAGATAATAGAGCACATTACACTGCATATGGAAAGCTATCAGTAAGTTTCTGGTGAAGTAATAGATAATTTATTGTATCCATTTAGCATTAGGAATTAAGGCCAAAGAAGTTCAGTGAAAATTTTAAGGGGCCAAAGCTAGCTAGCAGCAGTGACAATCCAAATTTTAAAGACTTTGGGAAGCCTATGTGAGGACAATTGGATTTTATAATGTTACGATCAATGGAATGCTTATTATTTCACAACTTCTGGTATGTAAGAACTGTTACAATCTTCTGGTATTAAGGAACTGTATATGAGCAGCAGGTAGGGCCTAGAAGACAGGTCCCCATTGCAAGCGCGTGCAGCAGACCACTGCATTGGCAAATAAGCTTCATTGGCTCTCCCCTAAATGATTCACAGAAGAATTTATTATTTCTACTTAAAATTTTTAAACTAAGGATATTTTGAAGAGTTTGTGGTTTTGGATTTAAGAGATTATAATTGTTCAATTAAGGTTTTTTGTTTATATTCCAATGCATTTTAATATAAATAGTAATGTAAGGTGATTAGGAAGAAAAATATTCAAAGATATATAATTTTTAGTTTTTTGGTTTTTTTTTTGAGCAGAGTCTCACTTTGTTGCCAGGCTACGAGTGAGTGCCGTGGGTCAGCCTAGCCCAGAACCTCCAACTTCCTGGCTCCAGTGATCTTCTGCCTCAGCCTCCCCGGGTAGCTGGGACTACCCCCCCCCCCCCCCCCTGGCATGCGCCACATGCCGTGCTATTTTTTATATATATATATATCAGGTTGGCCAATTAATGTTCTTTCTATTTAAGTAGAGACGGGGTCTCGCTCTTGCTCAGGCTGTTTTGAACTCCTGACTTGAGCCAATTCGCCCGCCGCTCCCAAGAGCAGTATCAGGCGTGAGCACAGCGCCCGGGTCCCAAATTTTTAGTTTAATGTGTATAGGTAGTCTGTTTTTTTCAATATTACTGAGTCTCTTATTTTTCATAAAAACTTGCATAGCTTTCCCAAATAACATGTATAGGAAGACAAATTATTCTATTTTACTTGATACTTATTTTGTGATGTCTATAGTATATATAACTGATGACAGATCATGAAAATTAAAATTGACTGGAGCTCTTAGTGTTGAGATTTGAATTCAAATAATATTTGGGAGTCTTGAAAAAAATATTAGAATAGAAAACCTTATTTATGTATCTCTATCCCTCATGGCACATGTTTCTATAGTACAATAATCATTGACTTTTTGAGTCCATTACCATGGCTGGATTTTATAGAAAAAAAAAGTACAATGAGCAATTTCTGCTATTTTTAAAGATTATTTTCATAGAAAACAGGATTCATTTTAAATAGGAAAAATTTAGGAAATGGCATGCAGTAATCAAATAAGTAAATAAGTAGATCTAGAATACAGTATAAGCTCCTTATGTTAAACCAAAATGTGATCTTTTCTGTTCCTCAAATGAAAACATGTATGCTCCCTTATTTAGTTTTTATAGCAATTTTTTATTATAGCAATATTATTGAGGGACTTGTTGACTAAACTCCAGGTAAGAATTTGCTGAGAACTAGTTAAAAAAGCCAGAAATCTGCTTTTTGTAGCAATAAACTTTAAGGATTTAATAACTTTTCAATTACAGTGGGTTTCTAATCTTCATACAATAAGTTATATTTTAACAAGGGCTAAAAAGTTCTGGTAACAATAGATTAGCACTGAATGTGTTTTAATCATTGAACTCAGAGCTTGCTTTCTCTCTCTCTCTTTTCCTCCCTCCCTCCTCTCCCCTCTCCTCTCCTTTCTTTTCCTTTCCTTTGTTAGCAAGCCTTATTTAATAAAAGTTTATATACACTCTTGCCTAATTCTAAATGTTCTCTGAAACAAGTAAGTTAAAATGGAATTTTAAGGTTTACAAGAGAGAGAATAAGAAATAGCAAAAGCTTTATTCTTTTAAAAATGTAAGATCCTGGTATGATTCTTCACAGGTGGAAAGCAGATACATTTAGAAAATCAGTTATCTCAGATGCTTAATATGGTTTTATTTAATTAGTTTTGCCACCTGGTAGAATTAATATTGTTACAAATGGCCTTGGCTTTTTATTATCATCCCATCTGTTACTATGTTTAAAGAGTTAACATAAAGACCTTTTTTCAGTATCCATTTTTTCACAAACATATATTTCACTTTTAGACTATATTGTTATGAAAAAAAGGAAATTCTTTTATTTTTGAAAAAAAGTCTAGTATTGGGGGCTAAGACGAATTCTCTCCTTACTAAATTATCAGATAAAAGTAAACTTTTACAATAGTTATTTTTGTGTTTCAAGAGATGTGATTTTTATCAAAATACCTGTTTCTTAACGGATCTGTAATATAACACTATGTATAAGTTGTTCTTTCTGTTTTCATTCTTCTTTTTTTCTTCTGGCCTGTTGCAAGGAAGAGGTGGCAGCCAGAGGTTGCAATGAGAAGCCACAGGAAGGCCCCCCTGCCTAAGTATCTTCCAGCCAGTTTTATCTTTTACTTTGAATAGATGAATGGGTGGTGCTTTCATTTAAGCATATTTAGGTGAAGTTAAGTGAACAAACTTTGTTGTGCAGACCTCATCCCTTTGTTTTGCAAAGCTAAAGTAAGTCTGGGCTCACTATTTTATGAAATTATAAAGCAAAGCCAGTAAGATACATTTATAGCAAGAGATGTTTTAATCTCAATACTAGAGAAATGAAATTAAAATAGTAGCACTAAACTACTTTTAAAAACTTTCAAATCTTTTGGTTAAATCCCATTAATACTTATAAGTTAGGTAAAAAGTTTTTGGGAGGATGATTTGCCACTCTTTTAATCCTCCCTCAAGACACAACTCATTAAATATTTACAGATAGATTGTAGTCTAAGAAGGTGATTTCTACTATTGATTTTACTAAATAAAGTTATATTAATACCAGAATAGTAGAATCATGGGATAGTTATTAAAGTTAGAATTTTAAGTTCTTGGAGATAATAGAGCACATTACATTGCATATGGAAAGCTATCAGTAAGTTTCTGGTGAAGTAATAGATAATTTAATTGTATCCATTTTACAGATTAGGGAATTAAGGCCAAAGAAGTTCAGTGAAAATTTTTAAGGGGCCAAAGCTAGCTAGCAGCAGTGACAATCCAAATTTTAAAGACTTTGGGAAGCCTATGTGAGGACAATTGGATTTTATAATGTTACGATCAATGGAATGCTTATTATTTCACAACTTCTGGTATGTAAGAACTGTTATCGAAGGGTAGAAGACAGGTCCCCACATTTGCAAGCGCGTGCAGCAGACCACTGCATTGGCAAATAGCTTCATTGGCTCTTCCTAAATGATTCACAGAGGAATTATTATTTCTACTTAAAATTTCCTCCCTCTGGACATGAATGCTTGACTCCAAAACAAACTCAGAAAAGAGGTATCACTATGCACAGAAAACAAAGATGAGAAAAGCATCCATGCTTCTGCCAACATATGTGAGGAAAAACAAAACAAAACAAAACAAAAAAATTGAAATGATTTTGTTCAGCAGTGTAGACTAAACCTGAGTCTGGGTTTAATTTTAATTTAATTTTCACAGAGTGAAAATGTGGCTAAAGATGTACATTTAGTACTATGAAATGGGACTAAATACGGTAATATTTAGTACTGCGTATTTCTTGTGTGTACGTGTGTATATGTGTATGCACATACATATGTATGTGTGTATGTGTGCACATACATGTATATTACATATATATTTTTTAATTTTAGTGATCAAAGGAGGACCCCTCGATGGCACTTACAGATTGATTCAGTTTCACTTTCACTGGGGTTCACTTGATCAGCAAGGTTCTGAGCACACTGTGGACAAAAAGAAATATGCTGCAGAGGTAAGATGTACTTTCTTTCTTGCCAGGTAAAAATGTTTGTAAATTGACGTTTAGCATTAATTTCAAAAGCTTAATTTTGTAAATTCAACTCACATCAAGTGAACTACTTCTTTCGCAAAGGACCTTCACACTTGCTCTTGTAACCTTTAATTGCGACATTACAATTAAAGCTCAAAACTTTCTCTACTGTCTCCAAGGACACCAGTTGCAAAAAGTAAATGAATTTAAATTCATTCATTTGTGCCTTCCCTCAGAACCATACGTCTTAGCAGTTGTTGATAAAAATCACTTGCCGTTATACCAAGTGCTATAAGATAATTAGAATTAAAATGAAAGTTTTCATTTAAAATTATCTACGTTTCACCTTCTTTCGTAAATTTGGCTATGAGAAAAAGATCATTGCATAAGATCTATAAGCTTTTACTCTGTCAATCATTCATTGTGGGTTTGTCTCTTATGGCTTTAGCTTCACTTGGTTCACTGGAACACCAAGTACGGGGATTTTGGAAAAGCTGTGCAGCATCCTGACGGACTGGCTGTTGTGGGTGTTTTTATGAAGGTTAGTGGATGGCCCAGTTCTTTTGTTTTCCTGTTTTCAAGAAAGATTGACCAGACTGAACATTCATAACACACAGAACATTCTACAACGTCTGATCTCGGAAGCTAAGCAGAGTCAGGCCTGGTTAGTACTTGGATAGGAGAACATTCTACAAGAGAACGTAGGAAATGCCTTTGGCTCCAAAATATTTTCAGGCTTATTTCCTGAATAAGGAAATATCTGTATATCTCTATATCTGCTGATAGCAGCAGAAAAAAAAAAAACAAGAAAGACAATTTGAGAGGTATTTGTTAGGGTACTATTTGGATGTAAATGTGAAGGACATGAAGAGGTCAACTTTGCATGACCTTAGGTATTTGTTTTGTTCTAATTTAACCTGAAGCTACACAGAACTATTACATGATGCTAAAGTAAGATCAAATTCTGGCGAGGGGGGGGAGGGGGGGAAGGACAGTGACTTGGTCCTGGAGAATTTCAGGCAACAGTGGGACTCAACAGGTTGAGCTGCCCTCTAGACAGTTGTAAAGGGCAGTGAAGAAAGGTCTGGGCTGGAGATTTATGAGCCCTGAGTCATATGCTGAGGTGGAAGCTACAGGTGTCTATGAAATCATCCAAGGGCGGCATAAGGAGGGAGACGGGAGAGCAGCTCAGGATGCAGCCCTGAGAAACTATAACACGTAAGGCCTTTAAGGCAGGCGGAAAAGATGTGAATGACTAAAAAGGAATACAGGCGTCAAGGGAGTCATTAAGAGGTTGGAGGGCATAGGGAAAGCCAAAAGATGAAAAGATTTTTAAAAAGAAGAGAAGACAATAATGTAAAAGCTTGCAAGCAAGCTAAGGTAAGCACTTGAAGACCACTGTTGGTTTTGGAGATCACTGAGGACATTTGACCAAGAGGTTTCAGGAGTACTGTCTGGGCAGAGGAAGAGGCAGGTTGAAGATTCAGTGCAAGTAGGGAAGTCCATGGTACCAGTGTCACCTAGCTAAGACTGTTGTGTGGCATGCGTAAAGTGGTGGATTTGGGTTCACTAATCGGAGAAATTTTATAACAGAGTCGTCCAAATCAAAACTGTTACAGTACCAACGAGGTTACAGTATCTTGTCCCTTGTGTTTTTCTATAGATTGGCAGTGCTAAACCAGGCCTTCAGAAAGTCATTGATGCTCTGGATTCTATAAAAACAAAGGTAAAATGGAATTTTCTGCAACGTTAATAGAGTTCCTATTTTCAATACTCCATTGATTTTTGGATTTTCTTTTGGTCAAATTGAACAGTCTCGATGATATGTGGTGTTTGAATGAGTAAAAGGTAAAATATTGTGTATATATATTTAATTATCTTTTCTTTCTCCAAAAGTCGTTCCTAAAGCTAGTATCATTCTAAGTCATGTATCTATTTAATCTTGCCTCCCCATCATTTGAACATCCATACATAAGAGAGAATCTCATGACTGGTCATGATCATCTGGTCAAATTTTTCACTCATTCATACAACAAATATTTGTTGAGTATTTATTATGTGCCAGTCCCTTTGCTAACCCAGCAGGTACAATGGTGAATGAGATAAATGAGGCCCTGTTTCATGGAGATTTATATTATGTGACCTCTTTGAATCGATCCACCCTGTGTTTAAATGCTCTCTACAGTATAGCTTGACAGAGGTCATTGAACATCTACTTAAATACTACAGTCACTTCCAGTGGCAGCCCTGGCTCTATAAAGCTGATCCTCACATTGATGCCACACCTATCTTCTGAAATGCTCACCTTTCACTTCTAGCTTGATCCCTTTGAATTATATAGAATAAACCTGATCTCCATTCTACATAACCCTACTCTCACTCTCTACTCTGGACTTTTACTTACCACTAGCTAATTATCTTTAGTTCCCTTTAACTATCCTTATATGACATAGTTTTCTCTCCTTGCAGCAACCTTTCACTCTTCCCGTAAATCATTCCTGTTTGCTTGAAAAGTGTAGCGTCCAGAACTGAATGCAGTTCCTTGGTTTTGATCTAGTTACCAAATAGGATAGCCAGAAAAATCACCTCCTCATCAAGGATACTCTATTTCTGTTATTGCAACCTAAAATTGCATCATTTTAGTGGCAGTAGTCTCATTTTAAATACTGCGTGTGATCAGTTAATGACTTAAAGGAAAATATTATATAAGGGATTATTTTAGAGGACAAGATGAAAATAATAATCAGTTTTTCTTGCTCACATCTGCCACTTTATATTTCTAAATCAAATGTCTTCTATTAATTTCATTGTGTTTACCGGTGAATATAGAACCACTCTTTAAAAAATCTTTCCTGGCTATCAGAGGGGAATATACCTATTTGTGTCCCCCTCTCTCCCACCTGCCTCCTCTCCCATGATGTGATGGTTTTAACCTGTGTCCTTGCCTTGTCCCAGAATAAGCAGGCTGACTTCACTGACTTTGATCCTCGGGGCCTCCTTCCTGAAAGTCTGGACTACTGGACCTACCTGGGCTCACTGACGACCCCTCCTCTTCTGGAATGTGTCACCTGGATTGTGCTCAAGGAACCCATCACTGTGAGCAAGGAGCAGGTGGGTTTGCTAATGGGAGCCTATTCAGAGACGTGGGGTGTTTAGTCAAGGCGGAGGACCTTGGCCTTGGAGTCAGACAGACCTGGGATTGAATCCTCCTTCTGCCACTGCTTGCTGTGGAACTAGTGTCTGCGACAGTGCTTAGCAAACAAACAGCATTCAGCAAATATTTATTGTTATTCACCATAACCTTAGGCAGTTTGGTTAGTCTGTAAAACCGGGTAGTCATTGTGAAGATTCAGTAAGAAATGTGTCTGTCACCTAATAAATGGTTTCTTTGTCAGTTATGAGGAAACTGAAACTCAGAAAAATGAGATTTCATGGTCAAGGTTACATAGGTATCAGGGATAATTCCAGCCTACTGCTCACTCACATTAGAGGTTTCTGCAGTTTTATTTATATCAGAATGCATTCCTGAATCCTGACACAAATTAGAATCATCCCTTGGAGAAAAAGTATCTGTTAAAACTCACTCCAAGCTGCTTTCGAGGCCTAGGGCAGATATTCTTACATTTCCAATACAGTGTACTTTGTGATGTTCAAGTGATTAATGCAGCTTCTAATTCTAATACTGATGAGTATCCACCAAAGTGGATACAAATGAATGTTTCCTAGACTGCCTCTTAGCACACTGTTGAAATGTAGAAAATGGACATTCCTTAGGATTCACAAGAGTTTGGATCCTGCATAATTTATGGAGAGTCAACAGCCAACAGTCTTGAAAGGGATAACTGTCTGTGTAGTTACAGTGGGATTTAAACCTACAAAAATTCAGAATCATAGTTTAGAGCTGCAATGTGCACTAGATATTATGTCATCCAGCCGTCTCAATTTGCTAAGCTAGAATTGTGTTGATAAACAGTCTGAGAACATTGAAGTGCTTTCCACTTAGCTACTTCATGGCAGAATCAGGTCTGGGAGCAAGGATTCTATTCCTGTGTTCTGCTTTAGAATATTAACTCTTAAGTACTAAAGATATTCTATATCTTTCTTTAGAGGACATCTATATCTAACTAGAAATTTACTTGTAATATATCAAAGTGGACCCCCCAAAAATTATATGCTTGACTGGTTTGTCAGTTCAATATTTTGACCTTGTGGTCATAATGTATTTGAGCAAGCTTCTTGAAATAGTAGCATAAGGAAAGATTATAATAATGACACTTCTTATTTGTAGATGTGGTGTTTGAGTTATAATTAAAAACATGAAAATTCTTTTTCTTCTTTCACTGGGCATAATCCAGCTTGAGATCATGGTCTAACATTCGAGCTGTGGCAACAAATGGATTTATTGTGCACACACACACCCATAGCCAGAAATACACATGTAGGTAAGGGCAATTGAACGTATTCCAGTAGTCCCTGTGCCATGAATTTTCCCTTTAAGGTAGTACCTGGTATTAAACTAAATATACTAATTGTATATATCGGCAAAATACCAATAGGACTGTTTTTCATATCCTACGACATGGAGTCCAGAGGAGTCATGCTCACCTCGGGAAGCCAGAACTTTGGTTCCTCCTTTGTTGTTCCCAACTTCCCTGTTCGTTGGTGACTTCATCCTCAAGGTGGTTGCAAGAGCATCTTGAGAAGCACATCCAAGCATAACCACCTTTCGAGGAGGAAAGGAACCCATCTTCCATTGGTTCCATAGGAGCAGAGAAGCTTTTCCCTGAAGACCCCAAGCAAAGCTTTCACATTTCACTGGCTAGACCTGTGATTCTTGCTTAGTCAAGGGAATGTGATCACCATGGTCAGTTAAGATAGACAAATGTACCCAGCTGAGGCTTAGAGGAGGAGAGCAGATGTCTGGTAGTGAGGAAGTATGGAGGGATGGGTGTGGGTTATGCAAATAGAGCTTCTAATTCTGCTACCTTTATTTTCTATACTGAGGTTTTTTTTTCTCTGTGATGCTAAAATAGAATCAAGTTGATTGATATGGGGATGTAATTTAATCAGTGGAGTAGAGAGTAGAAATTGGTTGTACTTGGTTTGATCTGATTGTACTTTATAAACGGACTCTCTTTCAGATTACTGGGATTCTGCTGTAATGTATCAACCCTGGGTGTTCTTAGAGCATCCCCTTGCATTGCAGTAATGATACTTGGGCATGCTACAATAGTTGACCTACACGAAACTGACTTTGTGGCAGTGGTTGAGGGAATATTCTGGGACAAAAGACAGGAGATTAAGGGCTGTTGATTTGTGGGCTGCTATAGTCCTACCATGCCACTCTTCTTTATTTAGATCAAGTCGTGTTCAGAGGAAGGGAGACACTACTTTTCAAGAAACGTGATGAAGTAGGAGACTGTTTAAGGGCTGCCTGTGTTACAGTGGTGGCTGTAACAAACAAGTTTAAAAGGGAAACAAACAAGTTTAAAAGGGAAACAAGTTTAAAAGGGAATAATATCAACCAATGACAGGAGTTTGAAATCCCAGCTTGGGCAAATGTATTCCTGTGTTTCTGTGTATTTACACAGAGGTGCCAGCTCATCGCTAAGCCCATGGAGCTTGCAGGCCCTGGACCACTTCACCTAATTGTACAGATGCTGTAGGTTGTCTTCCCTGGGGGCAGAAAACAAAACTTTAATTTGAGCTAGAATTGGTATCATTATTTTCCATCTTAGAAGTATGAGTTGATAGACTTTTGATGATTAATTTTGAAATCAAAAGCTCACTGAAAATTTCCTTCAGAAATGACACCAACATTTTCATGTATTCTCTATAAATCGCTTTATTATAAAAGCATATGTACATAATCTATACATGATTAGATATTTATTATGAATCAAATTGAATTTTTGCCATTGATACACAGTGCTGTGAATATTGGGGAATGCATTTTAAGATATAACACAAGCACGTAAGTAAATACTATTGTGAAACTTTAATTTTCAATTTTTTGTTGTGTGTTTTAGATGATGAAATTCCGTAGTCTTAACTTCAACGGGGAGGGCGAGCCTGAGGAACTGATGGTGGACAACTGGCGTCCGGCCCAGCCACTAAAGAACAGACAAATCAAAGCTTCCTTCAAATAGGTTGATCCCGCGGCCGGTGTTCCAATAATGAATTTTCAGGTGTTTCCTTTTAGCTAAGCACAAATCTACCTTGGTGATTTGGACTCTGGCTGCTTTGTGTCTGGTTTTCTAGACCCTTCATCTTTCACCTGACGTGCTTACTAATAAAATGTGAAGAGCAATTGTCATGTTTGGCAGAATTGCCGAGGCTGGTTGGTGCTTCGCTTATGGTAGTAGGTGGTAGTCTTTCTGTAACGGAGAATGTCACATAAGGAATAGGAATAAAGTACCTTGACTTCTTTCACAGTATGTAGGATGATATGCACTCACAATTGTTCACCAAAATGCTATTTTTAAAACATAGGACAGTAGAGTGGTTGAGTGCAAATTCGTACCATGAGATAATTTGAGCTAGTCAAGGCGAACCGGATAAAATAGTCATGATTCTGTGTAATGTGCATCAGATCAAATAAATGTTCATCACTCCCATATGTTATGATAAAGAAAAACTTTAAAAATTCTTATATATTTATAGCAAAATTATCTTCGAAATGAATTATGTTGTAATTTAGTGGCTTTTGAATTACAGAGATGTAAATGAAGTATTATCTGTAAAAATTGTTATAATTATAGTTGTGATACAGAGTATATTTCCATTCAAATAATATATCATAACTTAATAAATGTTGTATTTTAGATATATTCTCTAATAAAATTCAGAATTTTAGTCTGGGTTATTTTATTGTACTCTGGGCAGTGGGTTATACCTTCATGGAAGAGCAAATGTCTACTTTTTACAGTTCATGTTAATTCATTCTTAACAGTAAGCCATCCTAATTGGCTTACTCATAACTGAAGAAATCTCCGTAAAAGGAAAACCCTGGAGATCGTTTACTGTTTGCCAAGTACTGTTCTAAGTGCTTTCGGAGCACTCATGTGACCCTCATGACAACCCTGTGAGGATTAATCCTGCAGGGGAAATGGTCACATTAAAAGGAGCAAGGTAGAGAGAGACGGGGAAAGGAGGAGGATACACACTGAACCAATGCAAGCTCCTTGGAAATAAAGTAAATTAAAAGTCCATTCCATTCAAAAAGGGAATTCCAGTGATAACCAGAAGTAAAATCATAATTTGAATCTTGGAAAGGTACATTATGCCTATTCCAGAGAGGAAGAAGAAGAGTGAACAAATGCAATAAAAACATTTTACTGTTGTGCCTGTTATGGATGGAGCTCTGTGCCTTGACCACGTGAAGTTTGGCTAATGAGCTACTCTGGGAAGCCAAGTGTGATGCGGAGCCTAGGGTCTACATTTCAGGGAATAAAAATCCATTGTAACTCTAGATAGAAAATTTTCTAAACTCATTTACCCTCTCACGTGCTTTCCTAAGGAATGATTCTGAGTTTTGTGTAGGATCCCAGCTCTTCCCACCCTCTCTGGTCCTGGGCATAAAGAAAGAGTGATACCCAGATGGAAGCTCTTACTACAGCTCACTGCATCCTCCCTGAGCCCCGCCCACCTCAGCTCCAGGCCTCCACTTAGTGGAGGCAAGCTGGGTGGAAACTAAAACCTGCCACTAAAGAACATCCCAATCTATTCTGGTTTAAGGGTTTTTTTTTTTTGTTTGTTTGTTTTTAGGTTTCTTATTCCCCCATTCACACCAGCCCACACAGATGGTGCCTGGGTTACTGGGGAGAGGGCCATGGATCTGCACGATGTCCCCTAGGTCCTTGCTGGCCTCTGCCGTGGAGTGGCTGGCCCAGGCCCCATCTGTGCCTGCTGATGTGGGACCTGTTTCATGCGGTCTTTGGAGGTACCTGTCGCTGAAGGCTTATCCACACCACTGCCTCTAGTTGCAAAGTCCTGTACGCTTCTATTATGACCCTTGGGAAGGGTTCAGTTCCCAGAAGGCAACAGGGTAAAAAGGAATTCAGTGTCACACAGTAAGAGTCACACAGGGACAGCCTACCTCCTCTGACCCAAGTACCAGTTTGTTTGCTGTTCCTCATTGCCCAGGTTTGACCCCCAAAGACTGGGGCGATGGGAGGGGGACACGGGTACACACTGGTACCTGACATCTTTGTTTAATTCCTCTTCCCTCCTCCTCTTTTACCCTGGGTCAGAAAAGGTTGGCTGTCCCTGCTTGCTTCTTCCTGTGTGGTGGTGGCTTCCCTTATACCACGTTTCCTTCTGGAAGCAACATTCACCTGGCCCCCTCCCCAGGGTCATATAGCAAACAAAAATGCACAGAAAGAAAATTGGTTTCACAACAGGGGAAGGGCCGTAAGAAAGTATTTCAAAATTAGTACTCACATTACACCTAGCAATACACTGCTGCCAACGACTTCAGTGAGATTTCTTTAGCCCACCTGGTAAAATCTAGCAGAATTTGACTTGTGTTTCTCTTTCTTCTCTATCTCCTCTCCGTCCCTAACTTCTACCTTCATTTTAAGTGCCATATAGTGTTTCAATGTGTTTAACAAAAGGTAGCAGCATTGCTTTTCATCTAGTGTTTAAAAATTTTCTTTTTTCTTAGTTACAGGATCTTACTCTGTCACCTAGACTGGAGTGCCGTGGTGCAATCATAACTCACTGTGTGCATGCCACCACACCTAGATAATTTAAAACTTTTTGTTTTAGAGACAGGGTCTTGCTATGTTGCCCAGGCTGGCCTCGAACTCCTGAGCTCAAGTGATCTTCCCACCTTGGCCTCCCCAAAAGCTGGGATTACAAGCCTGAGGCCACCATGCCCAGCCTAGTATTTTTAACGGTTTGTTTTAGGGAATGAAACAAAAGAGAACTCTGAAATCTCTGATACTGAAATGTTCATGTTCCACAAATAGAAAAGTACACAATTTTCATTCTACATAAGAAACAAGAGATGGGGCAGAGATGGTCCATCTGTAGGACTTGTAGGGAGAATGTCCCCATACTGGCTTGAGGCTGCAAGCAGCACATGCAATGGAATTGCATGCTGTAGAACAGGTACCCCCAGTATCAAGGATTTGTCTTGTAAGTAGAGATGCCTGGAAAGAGGTGTAGGAACGTGGCCTTCAGCTGCCAGGGTCCTGGAGGTCCCTGTGGACAGAGTGAGTCCTGCACAGTCCTGGGCACCTTGAACACTCCAAGCCAGGGCTGCAGATGTGTGAAGATTTCCTCCACGCACCTTTGGTTTTCGGAAGGAGGATTTTCCCTGATGTTTTTAGAGAAGTATTGTTCTGGGTCCTTCTCTTTGAAGAATGATTCTGGCTGGTTTGGCAGAGGGTAAAGTGCCCTCCCAGAAGGGGTGTGCTCAGTCACTGGGCTGTCGTTTCTCCCCACCCTTCCCTCCATCAGAGTGCCTGCTTTCTAAAGATTTCAGGTCCGCATGCTTTGTGGTCTGAAGTCTGTTCACAGAAAGTTCTGGCAGAAATGATAATGCCTTTCAGCCCTGATACCTATGCATGGGGCATGTATAAAATTTCAAATTAAGTTTTTTTGTGTGTGTGTATACAATGTGTGTATCTATAATGTGTAAGATACTTCATATATGACTCTCTCGGTGAGCCACCTGGTTCCTGTAGGAGCCAATATTGAAGTTGGATTTAGTGTTTCATCTTCTTGTATTTTTTCCTAACCATAGACTGTCAAAACCAGACAATGCAACATAGGCTGGAGTTGTCATAGAGAGAACAGAAGTGAAGTTTGGCATCACACAGCATGCATTCTTTCATGGCCCAAATCCCCATTCACCACCAGCCTCATCTCCCCGGGCTTCAGTCCCCTGTCCCTGGATCCTCCCTTGGGCCTCATTTGCTTCTCGATTTCTAACACAGAGCAATGTAGCTCCACCTTTCCTGCCTTTTCCCTCCCCATACACACATACACACACTCACACATACACTCAGAGACACATGCACGTATGGATGCGTGCACACACGTGAGCACATATCTGTCTCCAGATACTGTGCTACAGTTAATCAGGCTAAAGGCAGCAAAGGAACTTTCCTCCAGTGTCAAGATCTCTCCATAAAGCTGGCAGGAGAGTTACAAATATTTATTTTTCTTGTCACCATTTTTGTACGGTGCTCAGATTCTCAACACAATCGAGTAAAGATTATTCCCATTTTACAAATGAAGACTTGGAGGCTCGAAGAGGCTAGGAAATATTCCCAAGACCCCACAGAAAAGGTGGCAAAAAGGGGGTGCAACCCCAAGTTTTAGTGTTCATGTCCTGTCTACTGTATCACATGAAGGATGATACATGATGGCCCAGGGCCCGTTCTCTGTGTCAAACCCTCACCCCCATTCCTACAATTTTGATAAACTGCTGGCTTGGGGGCCAAACTACAAGGAGTAGGGCTCACCGGGCTGGGCTGGCCAGGCTTGCAAGGGGAATTTGAGAATGTGAACTGGGCCAGGCTTTGCCCAGCATGGCACCTGGCTCAGAGTAGAGGTTCAACTACCAGGGGTCCTCAAACTATGGCCCGAGGCCTACCGAGGACATTTATCTGGCCCACTGGCTGCTTTTGCCTCTGCTGCCTGTCCTGCTTAGCAGCCGACTCGCCCCCGGCCCACGGTGCGCATGTGTGGAATGTGCGCCCCACTCTCCAATGGCCCTCCAATGGTCTGAGGGACAGCGAACTGGCCCCCTGTTTAAAAAGTTTGAGAACCCCTGAACTAGACCTTCAGTAGATATTGCTGAATGAATAGATAAATGTATTTTAAAGTCAAATGTAATGAAAGATGGCTAGATGTAGTGGTTTAAGCCTATAATCCCAGCACTTTGTGAGGTTAAAGAGGAGTTCAAGGTTACAGTGAGCTATGATTGCACCATCATTGCACTCCAGTCTGGGTGACAGAGTGACTCTCTCTCTCTCTCCCCCACCCATATATATATTCATTTTATATACATAATGCAAAGAATTCTGAAAGTGGATGTTGGTGATCAACATCCACACTGTACAACAATGTGAATGTATTTAATACTGCCTAATTAAATTTAAAAAGGTGAATTTTATGTTATATGTATTTTACCATAAATTTTTAAAAGTCAAATGTAAATTACTTTAATATTATCAATTGTTTTATTATTCATGTCTTCCCTATCAGTTGAAAACAGGCATATTTTGCACAAAACAAATAGATACTTACAAATCTAACTAAGAAAGGGGATAGGACTTAAGACGTTGGCGCCAGGATGACCTGGATTTAAGAGTGGCAAATATTGTGGTTGACCACAGTGGGTTCTGGAATTAGATTGTCTAGGTTTAATGCCTGGCTTTTGTCTCTTAGCTGCGAGAACTGGAGCCAACTATTTAATCTCTTTAAGCATTTTTCTTATCTGTAAAATGAGAATTATAATAATATAATATTAACACATAGGATTTTTGTGAGCAAGTCTAGGTAAAAGCTATCATGCTTCAGAAGCACTCAAAAAAACATCAACTATGACTAGTAAGTCTCTAAAAATAAAAAAGCCTTCAATATTAGTCTGACTCAAACCAGGCTGCTACTTGCAAACAGCTATGATTGACTTCCTATGTCATCTTTCCTCTCTTTCTCCTAGGTATCTGAACACCATCTATGCTGTGTTCTTGAATAATGACTCCAAGAATTCATGCCTGTCCTGATCATTCTATGAAATATTTCTTGGTAATGAGTAAATACTAGCTGGAAAAAGAACTAGTATCTTTTCCATTTGTTTCAAAGCCTGGGAAGATTTTATGCAACCAGAAAATAAA